CGTGGCTGGGACAATACATGCTATATTTACGTGTGGAGATGATGGAATAGAGTTGGAGGCTTTAAAGGTTCTCAGCCAAACTAAAAAATCTTGTTTCAAAAACCTCATAGGCATAATCTGTTTTTTGGGTTTTTTTTTTTTGCTATCCCAACTATCCGTCCATCAATCCATCCATTGATACATCCAGCCATCTACCCATCGATCAATCAATCCATTCATCCATCGCTGCACATGCTTACACTTATTGAGAGTCTACTATGGGGAGACACTGCTGAGCACTGGCAACATATAAAGGAGCTCCTGTCCCTTGGCAGCTCAGAGCTGCTGTGAAATACAGGCACACGGTCAGGGACTTTGACAGAGATGTACCAGGTATCACGGAAGTGAGCACAAGGGGCGAGCCACTTGGTATGGACACGAAGAAAGCTACACGGAGGAGGTGATGGCTGGGCTGGGCTTTGAAGGATTCTGAGGCAGGCAGTGAAGCCGAGAGAGCGACTCACAGGTCAGAGGGAAGGGCTGGGGGTGGCGAGAGACAACTCACGTCAGATCATGTCACTCCTGCTCAAGCCCTTCAGTGACTCCCCATTTCACTAACGGTGAAAGTTAAAGTCCTACTAAGCACCTAGGAAGGCCCCATCTGATCTACCTGGGGGCCTCTCAGACCTCCTGTTCCCTCAGCTCCAGCCGCACTGGCCTCCTGTTTTCAGGGCCTCGCTGTCTCTGGGATCCTCTGAAGAAAGACTCCCTGCCACACAGCTACCTGGCTAGCCTTGCTTCTTTCCAGGCCTTTCCTCAGATGCCACCCTCCACCCCCTTCCCTGCTTTATTTTTCTCCATGCTTATTACCACCCAGCCAATACTGAACATAGTCAGCTTATTATCTTGGTTCATTGTCTGTCTCTTCCAAGAAGAATAAACACTCGTGAGGGCACGAGTTTCTGTCTGTAGGCTGAGTGCTGTACTCCTGGTGTGTGAACAGTTCCTGGAATACAGTAGGTGCTCAATAAATATTAAGCATGTGGAGCATGTGGAATGACTCCGGGAGATTTTTTTTCCCCCTCAAGGAAAGGGTTATTAAGGACTATGCAAAGCTAAGTCTTCTGGAGTTTCTCTGGAAGGCGAAGGGAAGCCACAGACATTTTTAACTGGGAGAGTAAGATAACCGGGTCTCTGTTTTCTAGGATAACAACCTGGTGGTGACAGTGACAGAATGGGTGGAGGGGAGGAGAAACTGAAGCGGAAGTCCCACGAAGAGGTCACTGCAGAGTGGATGACAGCCTGACACAGGGCAGTGGAGGCAAAGAGGAAAAGGAGGAGGTGAGGGAGGTTTTGAAGGTGACATGACGGCTTAAAATGCGGAACTCTGATTTTATGCATCAACCCCAGAAAACTCCTTTTACGTGCGTGTTTTCATTTCTCACATAAACAACCCCATCGGTACAAAATCCATTCTAATCTTGACGCAAAGAATGGTTCTGCACCTTGGCTCACAGAAAAACAAGTTATACTGCTGGGCCTAGAATGCGTTCAGGTCAGGCTGCTCCCAAGGAACCTGTAAAACTGAGTGGTCCTTTGCAACCGTGTGCATCTCTGTGGCAAATCTCGGAAGCAACCTTGTCTGGGAGGGTGGTGTGTGCGACTCCTGTCCGCTACCTCCCTGTTAATCTCAGCGACACACTTCCGTATTTTTTTCTTTGGCTCCAAGACTGTCATTCAGTTTGAGATTGTCCTTTTAATCCATTCCTTTTTCAGAACCAGCTAACCGACCAGGCGGCCCATGTTTCATTGTCTCCTCAACCCTTCTGCTCTTCATGGGGGTCACACCTCACATACTCCATTCTAAGCTTCTTCTCTGATTCTCCCTTCTGGAACTTCTCTCATGCTGGGCAAATATGCCTGGCAAGCTTTATGAGCCCACGGAGAAGTCATCTCCCCTCCCTTGACCTCATCCTCGTCGTCGTGCAGCCAAAGTACCTTTTCTCTGTGTGAAGGTGACAGAAGGTCATTCTCAGGTGTGAAAGAATTCAGGAAAATACCGCCACCTACCGTTCTTGCAAAAGGAATTGCTTAAAAATATACCGTAGCCAACTGCAAAATTTCTACATTGCGATGTCGGCACGAGGGACAGGCACTGGGACTCTGTCCTCGGGTACCACCGACAGACACGAGGTTTCGGTGCGGCAGAGAAGCCATGCCTTGGCACACATTGACTCGGCCACGCCAACACCGAGGATGTGGACAGGAAGGTCCTTCCTTGCACAGTGACATCTGGATGAAGCTTAATGATGCTGTGCCTTAGGAACTGTTATCCTTCATTAAGGTAATAATCCTGTAATTGGAATTCCTCTGTAAAAGCCTCTCCCTCAAGAAGAGTTTACTGTAAGATACAGAAGTCCAATTAAATAGGATTATAACTACGTTAAAAAACAACAACAAGAAAAACACCCAAGAGGCACCCATGGCTAGGAACGGGCCTGGGAACAATCTTCTGTGGCTGTTTGTGGGCGAGGGGCAGCTCAGGCCACTCGCCTGCTGACAAACCTCCCCTGGCCACTGCTGCCGACCAGCCAGGCCCCAGAGCCTCCCCGTGGTAGCACATGAGGCCCTCGCCACGGGACTTTCCAGCCACACTTCCAGGCTTCACGTCATGGCCCTCAAATTCCTTATTCCTGCAGCTCCTTGAACAAGCACCGTTGTCCCAGGCTTTGCTGCCTTCCCGCATGCTGGTCCTTGTCTGGAACCTTCTTCCCTCTTCCTTGACTTGAGGAGGAGGCCCTACTTGCTTCCTTCTCCATGAAGCTTCCCAGACAGAACCTGTCCTCTTATCCTCACAGACTCGGGGCAGCTCTCCAAGCCTTCCGCACGTCAGCAGCTGCTCACAGTACAGAACTATGCATAATAAAGTACACAGTTCTCGTTTCAAACTCCTTTGCCACCCTCACAGGATTCTGAGGGAAAGGTCCCTCTGTAGATACCTGGATCAGGTGCCCCTGACCCCACTATCAGAATTAAGATTCAAGGCCCACAGGGAGTAAATCCAAGTAATCCACTCCTTGAGGATCATTTCCTCTAATAATAGATAAGTAGCAGGAAAGACTGATGTCTTCCTGGATTTGATGCATCTTTTATCTATCTGACTGTAAATTCCATGAGTGCTGGGACTACATTTGTTTATTTGCTCATTGTTCTATCCTAGGCAACCAGAACAGTGCCTCACTCCAGGAAGGCTTTAATCAGTTTCCTGAGAGTGTGAAATGTCTTATTTGTACTCATTTCCTAGGTAGAGTAAGATGCCCGGTGCAGTTCACACTCACCGACGCTCTGCTGAATGAATGAACCCTAGTCTGAGTTCTAAAATAAGGCCGTTTTCTTTATGCTAGAACCAAACTTGGTAAAAGACTCTCCCCAGAAGCACACACCTGCCTGCCTTCCCTGAGGCCCCAGCCCCTGCGCCTTTGTCTGGGTTTCTGTGTGCAACCCTGAGAAACAAAAAGCGGCTTTGTATCACTGAAAGGAAAGCCTTTACGAAATGCAAAACAACATTAACCTTTTCCCCTTCACTGCATTCAACACACTGGCCAACCGTAAACCTGGGGGATTCAGGGAGAAATTGGTTCAAAATTCAGGCCAAAAAAAAGGAAAAAAAAAAAGATGCCTTTTATCTTCAAAATCCCAAGACCTGCACATTTTCCCCCTTGAGAAGCAACTCAAAAAAGCCCCTGCTGTGCTCCAGGCCCCTCTCGGGCAGCCCTTTCTTGCATACTGCTTGGCTCTCTTGGAGAGCCTGCCCACTGGTGCACGCTGGGAGGAGCCGCCCCCGCAGCAGGAGAACGGACTTCCACCTGCATCTCGAAAGGCCCAGGGCTGGCGCTTCAGAGACACGGAAATTTGTCCATTTTGTCTCTGTGCCAGCCCGGCTCTCCTAGGAGTCTCAAGGCCATGCCAACCTGAAAAGAGATCCTCTTTGCTTCTCTGCATTCTCTGAAAATGACCAGAAATAATCATAAAAACGAACAAAGGGATTACAAATTAATCTGCCCTCGCTGTCTCCTCTGACTGCAAAGATAGAATTACAAACCCAGGATTTGCAAAAGACCTCAATTCCTCATTAATCTCCACTATCGTTTCTATCTTGGCTATTTTTTTTTTTTTAAGCTCCTTTCTTAGGCAGGGAATGAGGGGGAGCTATGTCCTTTCTTCACTCAACAGTAACTGAAAAATATGTCCTTAACATTTCAGAAAGCAGATTGTCCATGTGCTGTAATATAACCACTAAAGCGTGGAGGTGAAATGGCACGAGTGTCCTTTATGTCACCATCTGTCGAAATTAATGAATTTAAGTGTGGAAAACCTAAATCTGTGGTTTCTTTGAAAAGCATGAATCTGACAATCCTGAAAAATTCCAGGGCCTAAGAATCTCTAATTTCTTTATGTTGCACTTGTTTTTCTAGGGCATATTTTGACTGCTCAGCACAGGGCAGTGAATGGCCTCTAAACTGTGTTTCGCATGTGCCTCTGCTCTCTATGGCCATCTGGAGCTGGGGCCTGCAGAGAGAACAGGTCCCGGCATTTTCCCGCCAGGTTCACTCCATGGGTCAATGCTACAGTGTAATCAAAAAGCACATCTCTTTCCTGGAAGTGTCTGCAAACTCGATTTGGGTTGAGTTTCTGCCAGCCACATTTCTGCTCCTGGAGCCACGGATGCACACTCCTACTGAGAGAGGAGAGATTCCATGCACTGGGGTGGACTGAAACCTCATACTAGCTGCTGTTCACATGACTCCTGGCATACAATGCATGGTAGCTGCTTGCCTGCATGATGTCCATGGTGGCTCCCAGTTCTGCTTTCCCATGGCTAAATACCTGTTCGTGTTCTTTAAACTCGTGCACAGCAGAAAGCTGAGGATGGGGCTTAGAAGGCAAACTGAGAAGTGATCCCCGATGGTGCTGAGACAGCATCCAATCGGAGGCCCATTGCTGCCAGGTCCCGCCCTTACCTGGGTATGGCACTCTTCCTTTGGTGACCAGCTCTGTGAGTAAGATTCCAAAAGACCATACGTCAGACTTGATCGTGAACCTCCCGTACAGGGCTGCTTCGGGGGCCGTCCACTTAATGGGGAACTTTGCACCTGCAGAAAGAACATGTGATTGATTACTTGGCAGGCAGAGAGCATATGGCACCGGGTATGGGGCTGGAGAGGAAGAGTGCTAGGAACCACTTTCACAGGAGCAAGTTCATAGAGGAGGAGGAGAAAGTGGTCAATAAGGAAATGGAGTACAACTGACTACAACTGAGCAGCTGTGGGGTCTAGTGCTGGCTCTGTGACCTTAAGCAAGCTAGTTTAATGTTAATTTGCCCACCAAAGGGTTGGGAGTTCAAAGCTCCTTAAAGCTCTGGTTTCTAGAAACTGGAATCTATGATCACACTGAATGTCACAGGTTTGGTCTGGATAAGGGGCTGACCTGCGATTTAGGGAACTCATTTCATACGTCTTTTCTTTTGCTTTGAAGTTATGTCATATTTTAATAAATATATATAGTATTAAATCATAATGCTACTCTCATGAATTGATATAGAAAGGCCAGAGTGTGTTCTTACGAGGTACATAAAAACCAAATCAAACCACCGTGATTGTCTCAAGGTGAAGACAATTTACTGTAGCCCATGTATTTTGTTGAAATGGGCTCTATTTCCCAAGGCCTCCTATATCCACAGCAGAGAAATGATTTTGCCTTTGGCTACCTCCCTCCACCTTTTCTCCCTGAGAGTGGTCATCTTTGCTTCTGGGATAGTTTTTTCTTTTGTACTGTATGATCTCTTGTTTACTGCCCAACCTTTCTCCTACCAGCCCGAGAGGGTACTATTTAATAATGTTTGCTTTCAAAGAGCAGTCTTGCCTCAGTGACTATCTTAGGAGTCTGATTTCTCAAGACCAAGCAGCAAATTCATGCCAGTCAGGAGAATCTTTTCTTTGAAATTTCTCTGATCATTAAAAGAATCTTCTCTCCAATCTAAAAGGAAGGCTGTTCTTTATAAGGCCAGTTGTGTGTATGGGGAATTAAAATTGACTCGGCAGCCTGTGCGCTCACATATTAGGCTCAGCAATTATAAAGCAGTTCTAGAGATCTCATCGAACAAACTGAAAGAAAAACACAAGGAATTTTTGTTACTGATATAAACACAATTATATGTTAAAAGCATGTTAATTTTACATAGGAGCTCCTAAAAAAACCATACAAAGGCTGACGGAATCAGAAATTTTTGTGGTATCTTCTATGAAAAGTCACAATGTGCAAAAGTGGCAAATAATTAAAATCTTTAAATTAGTATGGTTTTAATAACCAGAGGTATGATAAATTACAGCAATTAGATTTTTGTTTTAAACACAGTACATGATAACATCTTTAGCAAATCTGCCCTGGCATTTTCTGGCAATATAATTTTCCTCTCCATCTCTTTTATGCCAGTGTGAAATGAAATTAAAAAAAAAAAATCCTACTATTTCATTATGTGGCATCTCACATTTACACTGGAGCAGAGAAGTTATTCTATGGTTTTCTTTTCCTTTTATGCTAGGAGTTATTTTTAATTAGCTGTGTTTCTCAAGCATAATTATTTCTATCTTTCCTTAAGTGCTGCATGATTCCACACAAGGCCTGGTATTCTCTGAACAGTCATTTTGTTTTTAAAGTTTCTTTCAAAGCGTTCTTCTGTGTGAGAACCTACCCTCGAGCATTCTGTTCACGCAGCTTTGGACTCTGAGCCGCTGGGATTAATGTGATAGATTTTCTTCAGTGTCGAGAACAGACTTTGCCCTGGACCAAACCTCAGCTGGAGTTCTCTTATTTCAGAGAATTAAAGGTATATTAAATTCATTCCTATTTAAACTATCTCTTGAGCCAAATGGCTTGGAAATCTATGTCCATCTCTAAAAGCAAAAAGAACTTTTTTTCCTCCCTTGTGCAGATACGACTCCCGTAAATAAAATGACAAACAAAAGGAGCCTTTCTTCCCTTCTTGGAATCATCCAACATTCGTGAAGGTGTGTATATGCTAACAGTAAACCGTTCAAAATTTGGATAAAGTCACTTTGGATTTTCTGAGAGAAGATTTCATAATGTGAGCTTTGAAAAAAAAACCAAACCCAAATGTCAATATATCAGCCATTTGTGCTAGTTGGCTTTGTTGTTTTCTCATTACATCATCTACAGCAAGAATTGTAATATGTAAACCTTCAACAAGTAGGTTCAGACAAAGGCTGTAATCGATCTCTGATAGGAAACCATTTGTGGATATGTGCTTTGAGACTTAGTAGCAGGGGCTTACGTAAATAAACTTATTTTGCATTAGTTTTCTTTCTGAGATAAGCAATATGTTTACTTACACCTAATACATTTTGGAAGCAAAAGAAAGAATATCTTTGTCCAATTTCTCCTACTTCTTTTCAATCTTAAAATAGCAGCCACTGTTGACAAAAGGAGCTTCTCTAAAGACAACTCGTATTTTCCTTTTCAAGGCAGACAAAAGGTTAATAAATTAAAGCAGCGATGATCTGTTAGTCATTAACTATGGTTTCAACAAAAGAACTGATTGATGTTCGCTCTTTTACTCATTACCTCTATTTCCGCTCACCTTGGTTTCCCACCTCCTGAGGGTACAGATGTAGTCCCCAATTGGGGAGAGTTCAACCCCCGGTTTGTGGCGGTGGTGGGTGGGGGAGGGTATCTCTAAGGAGATGCAGCCCCAAATGGGAGAGAGTTCAACCCGGGGTCTGTGGTGGGTGGGGGCGTGGGGGTGTCTCTATCCAGGCAGGCTGCATGTTGCAGACCCCGGCCTATGAGAACAGCATTGCTGGGGCTGTCTGGGATACCACCAACACAATCCCACAGGCGGCCTTGCTGGGGGCTTGCGGTAGGCTCTCTCCTCAGGTGAAGTCAAGAAAGCTCAGAAACCTGGAAGGAATTCCCGATCTCCTGGGTATAAACACTGCCTTTCCCTTGAAAATAAAGTTCTGACACGCAGAAAGTCAGGATCAAAGATGTCTTCTAAGCAGTACAGATTTGTAGAAAAAAGGAGACAGTGTCCAGAGGCCTATACAATGATGAACTTGGCTCTGTTATGTAACCAGCTGATTCGCTCTTCTTGAAATTCTCCTGTTTGGGAGCAGGATTCAGATGCCAATGCAATTTCCTTTCCTTTGCGTTTTATTCGAATAGCAAACTATGGCAGGTAGGATAATCTGTGTCACTGGTATCATGTAACACTCTGTGAACTTGTTCAATGTTTAAATGCACTAAAAAATATAGGAATTATCATTCATCATTGCTCTAGTTTTTACTTCCTACTGAATTTACTCTAACAGTTTAGGATTCTTTTAAGCCAACACACAAAACTGTGCATGTAATATATATGTGTGTAATGCATGGACTTGAAACGCCTTTTCCACTGTTTCCTAGGTAGTGTCTGCAGATTTTGTACCTCTTAGGATAAAGCCCTTGCTGAAAGTCTGACCTGGTGTGCCACTGGGGCCCATGTCCTGGAACCACCTTCTGGGTAGGGTGTCTTTGCACTTGTGCCATTTACCTTCCTGCAATCGTGGTGAGTACCGGTGAGCCTCATGCTTAGCCATCAGGCACCTACATCTCAATCCTGTTTCTCTATATTCTGTTGAGATGTGAACCGACTGGTCATGAGCTCGGTGTGACAACAGGGGATTGGACTCCCTCTCTTGGCTTCCACCTCTCTCGTGACCCCAATGTCACCTGCATTTGTATCACCTGCTGGGCCCTCCCTCTTGAATTCCTGACCTGTATATCGGATTCTCTCCCCAGCCTCTCCACTGGGAGGCTTCAAAGGGCCTTTCAATGCAACATCCCAAATTTACCTTTCCCCACGGTTTGCCTTGTCAACCGCCTAGCTGATGAGACCAGAATGCCGCAAGGCCCCCTCGTTCAGATGCTGCGTATATCTGCCCATCGCCATACATCTTCCCTGAGTCCCCTTCCACCTCTGCTGCTTCACCACTTTCCATGTTGAGTCCATTTCACTCCGGAGAGTGTGTCTGTGTGTCTTCACTACCCCCACTCTGGTCTGTGCCTGCTTGCTCACGGTCACCTGTCTAGACTCCTGCAATGGCCTTCCCATTGGGCCCACATTTACAGTCTGGTCCCTCCTCCCTATCTGTCCAGCCTCTTCTTGTCATCCTGGGCCTCCCGATCCTCCCTATCTCCAACCTCTCCATTGCCCCTCTCTGATGGTTCCTGCCTGCTGCAGGGCCACAGGGCAGGCTGTTCCCTTTGCTGACGTCCCTCCCCCATGGCGAACTCTTGCTCCTTTGCTCTTAGCCTAAGTGTTATTTGCACAGGGAACCTCCACCTGAACACTAAGACTGGGGTAGTTTCCCTGGTACTGTGCTGCCAGAGCATCTTGTTCTTTGTGGCTGCTACTTTTCAAGGGCAAATGAATACGTTTGAAGTACACCTCTCCCAATAGATAGAGACTGTCCTTGAGGGCAGGAGCAGGTCTTTCTGGATGGCCACCTTATCTCTAGTACTGAGCCCAGTGCCCAGTGCCCAGAAGAAACTAAAGAGGTGGTGAACGACTGAGTAATTGGACAGATGCTTAGCCCTCCCAGCCTTCCTTTCCAGCCTGAACTGCCACAGCTCCTTACTTACTAGCTTCCTGCTCTCTGGAGGGTCCTCTCCTTGCACTCAGTGACCAGTGTCACTGTCTGTCTCCATCTGGATGCCCTTATAAGGGTCTAACAACTGCCGACTACTGTAGAAAAGCATCTGTCACCAACTAATGACACTTAGAAACACCCGGAAAAACCTGTGTTTTTAGTGCCAAATGAAGGGTGGAGTGAATCTGTCTCAGACGGAGGGAACCCCAGACTTTGCTCTGTGAGGAGCAGGGGGTCTAGATCCCTGGAGTTGCAACTCCGGGTGGGGGTTATATCAGCAAAAAGACAAGGTGGCCAGAGGCCTTGGGAGTGTTCACAGCAAAACGCAGTGGAACATCTTTTTCCGAAAAGACTGAACAGGAAAGCGGGTAACCGGACGCCAATCGCTCACACTCACAGGCCCTGGTCTTCCTTATGTAAAATCAGGTTAATAGTCTTCTGGGCTT